AGAAGAAAAGAAAATGAAGAAAATTTTCGTAAACAAACTTATTATGATGATTTCGTAAAATTTAAAAATGCTTTAGAAAAAATTAGAAATTTTGCTAGTGAAGTAACTCAACTTAGAGGTTATAGGAAATATCTTAATGCTAATAGTGTTAAAACAAAGTTTTTATCATTAACTGATGAGTATGATCAATGTATGAGAAATTTACATTTTACTATGGTTATTGCTCAAGAAGAACAAGCAAGGTATGATCATGAATGTTTGGAACATGATCTTGCGGAAATGAATGAGGTAATAATAAGTTAAATTAAGAAATTAAGACTTTAAAAAAAAAAACAATTATTTCATACTAACGTAATAATTATTTTTATATTATTATAAAGTTTATGCAACAAATTAAAGGTGGTGTCGATGACAATCAAAAACAACTAAACATGATCTATCAAGAAATTGTATCAATTCAAACACATATGCAACAATCCGAAAAAAAACCATCAGAATCAATGAAAATTAATTCTCCTCAAATTGATCCAAATCAATTACAAAATCCAGAAATAACTTTAGAAGAAACTAAAGTTAAAAAACTTTTTAATAATTCTAAAATAATAAAGAAAATTTATTTAAGAAATTCTACTGAAGTTGCATGTAAAGTTATTAATAAATCATTACAAGAACAAAAAATTCAAGGTTTATTAGCAATTTTAGGAAAATTAGGTGATAGTCCAAATATTTTAAAATTTTATGGAACTTCAACTATCGATTATCATGATGTTTTAGTTTTTGAATGGGCTGATATGGGAAATTTAAGAGAAGTATATGAAAGTCATGATATACCATGGGATGTAAAAATACCTATAGCTCTGGATATTTGTCGTGGTATTGCATTTTTGAATTCTGCTAGTATCTTTCATCATGATATCAGATGTGAAAATGTCATGGTAAGTTTAATAATATAATGTATAAAATTTGTTTTTTTTTTTTTTAGAAAATTTAAATATTAAATACTTATTATATTTATTTCGATAGATAACAAGTCGTTTAGAACCAAAATTAGCAAATTTCAAATTTGCGAGAATGTTAGACAGTGAAACAACAAATCTTGGAGATATTTTAAAAGTCATTCATTGGTTAGCTCCTGAAAAGATGTTAGAACATAAGAGTGATATGAAAAATTATAAACGACCATATACACAGAAATGTGAAATTTTTAGGTACAATGATATTTGAAAAAAAAATTTTTTTTTCTTCTTATTTATATTGTGATTTTAATTATCTTTTTATAGCTTTGGGATGCTTCTTTGGGAATTATGTTTTGAAAGGATTCCATATGCTAATAAAGGCATGGAAGAACTTATATCCTACGTTACAGCTGGTGGTAGGGAAAAAATTCCGGTTTGTAAAGGAGAGGAAAGAGATAAAGCAATTCAAAAGGAACTTGTAGAAATTATTAAAATGGGTAAGTGGAAATATATATATACAGTATATGATTGCTTTTATTATTATTTTATTAATTGAAAAATAACTAATTTACGTTATTGCTTTTTTTGAAACTTTGAAACAAAAAAGCATGGCAACATGATCCAGAAGCTAGAGTTAACATCAGCAAATTATTTGTGATGCTTTCAAAAATGGCCGCAAAATATGTTAAACCTGGTGCACCTAATTACCTTTTACCTGACAAAACTTTAGATTATGGTGATAAATCTGAATCATTATTACTGGATGATGAAAATGAAATTTATTTGTCAGATGAAGAAGAATCGAATGAGGAAATAGAAGAAATTCTAACAATTGAAGAAGGAATTAGACGTCATAAATTAAAAACTCCTGAAGATAGAAAAGTTGCTTGGAAATGCTTTGATTATAATGCAGAAAGAGGAGATTGTTTTGCAAAATATTGGAAAGGTGTTTATTTATGGGAAGGTTATTATACTGATAAAAGAACTGAAGAGCGTATTAATGAAGATAAACACAAAGCCCTCGAACTTTTTAAATATTCTGCTGATTATGATATTCCAGATGCACAATTACGTTATGTTTTCTGTTTAAAAGAACTTGTAACATTAACTGATGTAAAGACACGTGATGAATTTATCAAATATTTGAAAATGTCTGCTGATAACGGAAATGCTGTTGCCATGTATAATATTGCTGATATATTAATAAATGGAAAATTGAAATTTCCTAAAGAGCCTGAAACTGGAATTAGATATTTAAAACTTGCTGCGTTAAACAAAAATGCCTCTGCTCTATCTATGGTTAAAAAGTTGAAAATAAATGAATTTGATTCTGATTATACTATACCGTAAATATCTTTGCAAAAATCTTTTTTTTTTTTTTTTTTTTTTTTTTTTTTTTTTGAATCAAAATAACATAACTAATTAATAACTTTCATTTACATACCAATGTAGCGAAAATATTCCCTTTTCTCCGGTCATTTCTCCGGTCACTACTCCGTCATAGGCCAATTCGATTTTGATTTAGCGTCGGTTAAAGAATTTGGTATAATGAATAAGGAAATTTCCTCTGATAGTAACGGTACATAATTTGAGTCAACCTTTCTTCTAAAAATAATTATTTATATAAAATATTTCTCTTTATTTTATCCTAATCTATATAATTTTTTTTATGTATATAACATATTATCATATGCTAGCATTTATGATATTTATTTATTAGTATAAAATATTAAATGTTTATAAAATTTTGGGAATTTGGAATGTCATTTATTATAATATATGCGAATAAAATTATTTTATCAACTAATATTAACAACTTCCAATATATATAAATGTAAATATGTCAAATTATAAAATTCTTAATAGTAAAATGTCTTTTTTCTTACAATATATTATTAGTAAATGTCCTTCTTATAAAAACAACATCGCCTCATTATTATAATTATATATATAGTTTAGTTATCTAAATTTCAAACAACATTTCTAAGATAAAACTTACCTTCCTACTAAATCTTACCTGCAGACTTAACTGATTATTAATCATTTCAAAAAATTTCAATAATCATTCGTCTGCAAATGCAACCAAGTCTTTATTTTCTTCAACTAAATCTCCAGTATTATAATATACTTTTTCAATCTTTCCGGTAAATGGTGACTTTATTATATGCTATTAATAAATACATTAATCAAAAATCAATTAAATAATTTGATAATCATGCGACGGTTATTATGTATTTACCTCCATTTTCATTGCTTCTAATATAATTAAGGGTGTTCCTTTTTCAACTGTCTGTCCGGGTTGAATAAGAACCTTTAAGAAAGTATATAATTTAATGTTATTAATTAGAAAAAATTTAAATTTATCAAAAAATTTATATTGTAAAAAACCTGAGAAATTTTGCATGGCATTGGTGTTTTAACAGAATGTGCCACATCTAAAACACCTGAATTAAGATATAAAGGTTCAGGTATATTTAAGATTATTTTTCCATCCTATTAAAAAAAAACATTAATTAATATTTACTAATATTATGTATAAAGAAACATATAATTAAATCATAAACCTGATCAAATATAATCATTTTATTATTCTTTTCAATTATTATACGACTTTTAACCCGTATACCATCAATATCTGTTATAATCTGCTTTTCAGATTCATCCCAATTACCAGTGACACGTTCAAATGTAATTGAATTATTTTTACCACGATTAATATCAATTTTAAATAAATTATCATTTAAATATTTTATATTAACGGATATATTATTGTTATTTTGATTCAAAAAAAAAAAAAAAAAAAAAAAAAAAAAAAAAGATTTTTTAAAAGATATTTAAGGTATACTATAATCAAAAAAAAAATCATTTATTTTCTACTTTTTAACCATGGAT